TATGCTACCAGACTAGTCCCAGAACTGAGAGATATAAGTCACGAGGAAAGGCGATGGGAGCTCAACCTCACATCCGTGGAAGACAGAAGAGTAAGGGAAGACATCATTACCACCTACAAAATACTCAGAGGAATTGATAGGGTGGACAAAGACAAACTATTTAGCATGGGTGGAACACAAACAAGAGGACACAGGTGGAAACTGAGTACCCAAATGAGCCAGAGAGACATTAGAAAGAATTTTGTCAGTGTCAGGGTAGTTAACAAATGGAATGCATTAGGCAGTGATGTGAGGGAGGCAGACTTCACTAACAGTTTTAAATGTAGATATGTTAGAGCCCAATAGGCTCAGGAATCTGAGCCTATTGTGCTCTGTCAATCAGCTGTCACCAGTTGATTGACAGTTGAGAGATGGGACCAAAGAGCCAAAGCTCAACCCCCACAAGCACAACTAGGTGAGCACAGGTCAGTTCCATACTGATGTCATCCCAGGCGGTCATATCGCTCTGGCTCCGGTTTCCCATTTTCTTTAGTGTTTTCAACCTTGAGGCAGTGTTCCCACACAGAGGTGTACATGAGCCAGGGGTTTTCTTCCTTTGGTCCTGGTGGTAGTTTTGTTAGGTTGCAGCTGGCTCCTTCTTTTCTGTTGAAGAATGTCTCAACAGGCTTCTGGAGGGGTCCTTTAGTTGTGGATGCTTGGTTGGTTTGGTCGGGGTTATCTTGAGGTTATCTTGAGATGATTTCGGGGCTTTTAGTGTCCCCGCGGCCCGGTCCTCGACCAGGCCTCCACCCCCAGGAAGCAGCCCGTGACAGCTGACTAACTCCCAGGTACCTATTTACTGCTAGGTAACAGGGGCATTCAGGGTGAAAGAAACTTTTGCCCATTTGTTTCTGCCTCGTGCGGGAATCGAACCCGCGCCACAGAATTACGAGTCCTGCGCGTATCTACCAGGCTACGAGGCCCCCACGAGGGGGTGCATCAAGTGCTTTGGCCATACCTTCGTGCCACTGGTTGTGTTTTGGTGGACTCGTTGTGGGTCAATGCGGTTTTCCTGGTTCCCTGTTCCAGGGCTCATTTTTCTCAGGTTGCCTGCAGTGTCCCTAAAGCTTGCCAGACTGCCATCTACCCTCATGCCCATGCTGTCCATAAATATGTTGCTCTGGCAGACAGCTTTAGTAATGTACCCAAGATATAAATTCATTAGCTAACCTCTTCCTCTCCAAAACTCTAAGCCTCTACAACCTTCATTGCCCCCTTCTTACCAAGCAAGTAACTGACAAAAGATTAAACAATCCGTGGCACACAAGTGGCATTCTCAACTCAATCAACAAGAAACATGAATATAAAAAGAAACTTATGATTGGCCTAGTTTCAAAGGAAGTAACTAAAAGGTACTCATCAATGCTTACCAGTATCATAAGAAAGGCAAAACTTGCATATTATGTGAATAGATTCAATGAAGCAAAAGGCAACATGAAAAGCACTTGGAAAACAATCTCTAGTATCCTAGGAACTAAACAACACTCACATAACCAAATAAAACTCTACAAGGATGGGGATATACCGTCAACTGATTTAGAAATGGCAAATGAATTTAATAGTTTCTTTTCATCGGTTGGTGCTAATCTTGCCAGTAAAATCCCACAGACTTGGACACATATTAACACATATCTCTCAGGCAGCTATCCAAACTCTCTTCTCCTTTCACCAATCAGCCCGGCAGATGTTGTGTCCATCATACACTCTCTAAAAACCAAGGCAGGGAACACCAGTGAAATTCCGTCCATTGTGTACAAGAGAGCCTCCCATGCCCTTGCCCCACCCATAGCTCTACTGTTCAACAAATCTATAGTGTCACACCTTCCCTGATATCCTCAAAAAAGCAAGAGTAACGCCAGTCCATAAAGGAGGCAATCCGGCGGACATAAACAATTATAGACCAATATCAAATCTACACATTCTATCAAAAATATTTGAAAAAATTATTTACAAACAGCTCTATTCCTACCTCGTAAAATTCGACATATTCAGCCCCTGCCAATTTGGCTTCCGGTCCCAAAAGAGCACCAACGATGCAATCATTAGTCTCCTTGACGTTATCTACTCAGCCCTTGACAAAAATGAGTTTCCGATTGGACTCTTCATTGACCTAAGAAAAGCCTTTGATACTGTTAATCACAACTACCTCTTACTTAAACTCCAGCATTATGGAATCCTAGGCCTTGCCCTTGACTACATCCGATCCTATCTTAGTGACAGACACCAATATGTAACCATCAATGATACAACTTCTTCCACTCTACCAATTACCGTTGGAGTGCCACAGGGCAGTATCTTAGGACCTCTTCTATTTCTTATATATATAAACGATCTGCCTAATGTCTCTAATATTCTCAAACCTATATTGTTTGCTGACGATACTACCCTTATCTATTCAGACCTCAACCCACATACACTAAATAATGTTGTGAATAATGAATTAAAAAAAGTCCACTTATGGATGTCAACGAACAAACTAACATTAAACATCGAAAAGACTTGCTACATCTTATTTGGAAGCAAATCATCAAATGCAATTCAGCTACAGATAGACAACATTAACATCAGTAATAAAAATGATGGCAAGTTTCTTGGCCTATTCCTAGACAAGAGACTCAACTTCAGCACCCACATTCAACACATAACTAAGAAAGTCTCTAAGACAGTTGGTATACTCACCAAAATCAGATATTATGTTCCTAACTCTGCTCTCCTCTCACTATATTATGCACTAATCTACCCCTATCTTAATTATGGTATCTGTGCATGGGGGTCTACCACTGCAAACCACCTTAAGCCCATCATCACACAGCAAAAATCTGCTATCAGAATAATAACTAACTCTGCTTTAAGACAACACTCAGCTCCCTTGTTTAAATCCCTAAACTTGCTAAATATTAACTCCCTCCACACATTCTCTTGTGTCAACTACATTTACAAAACCCTGTTCTTAAATGCAAACCATGCTCTGAAACTCTCCCTGGACAGATGTAATAGGACCCATTATCACCACACCAGAAATAAATATCTCTTTGATATCCCCAGGGTCAAACTTAATCTGTGTAAACACTCTATGCAAATTAACCACTGCACTGCGCAAAGCGCCTTTAGGCGCTCAGAGAGTTGTGCTTTTTGTTTTTTAATTTGGCTATATTTTAATGTTTTTTAATGTTTTCATTACTATTTGTGTTTTGAAATGGAAATAGTTGACTTTGGAAACATTTTGACATTAAATTTACCTGAACATTTGTAAAAATAACAAAAATATGTCCTTGACAATTGCACCAAGACGTTTTTGCCGAAAATAGGTGAGCAGTGCAAGGGTTAAGGGACCTAGTCTATGGAACTCACTCCCTAGTGAATTGAAAAACTGTAAAACTTTTGCCTTATTTAAAAGCAAAACCAAAAAGTACCTAACTTTATCTTCTTAGTTTCCTACACTGAGCTTTAAATTTGCTCTGTACCTAGTGTTACCCAATCTCCTAATTTTTATGTAATATCAAACAACCTTATCATTGTGTTCATTGCTGTCTTCTTTTGTGCTAGCCATATGCTGTATTGTGACTACCAATTTTTGTCAACTACCATTCAAGCTGTCATTGCAATCAATCTTATATTGTTTCTGCTGTATTGTGCCTACCAATTTTTGTCAACTACCATTCAAGCTGTCATTGCAATCAATCTTAGCTACCTATGTGCTTTAATATACTGTACCTACAATTTTCTCTCATCTTATTTTTTTCATTCCACGTAACCGTTATCATTTTTTTTGTCTATAAATTTTGCAAGTATTTACCTCCTTAAAATTTTCTTAGATTAAGGACCTGCCTGAAACGCTGCGCGTACTAGTGGCTTTACAAGACTGTAATTACCATATTATGTATCCTCACATTCCCAATGTACATTCTTGTATATGCATAAATAAAAAAAAAAAATAAATGTATCTTTTAGCCTATATTTGAGCTCAGAGGTTTTGGAGGTCAACTTGGGTCTTGGCTGTCTGGTATTTTGTTAATGTCCCTGGTCCTCTATGGCTGTATGTTGCATTGAGTCATGTTTTGCGGCCGGTCAGTCTTTCCTTTGACTTGATACCCGCAGTGCTGCTGTCTTCCTGGTCAGTGACCCATTGTCCTCTGTGGGTAGTTATCTTGAGTCGAACGAGAGCTGACAGGGCTTTATGCAAAATTCCAGCATTGAATGTTATGAAATGGCAGTTTCTGAATGAGCCCCAGAGGCTCCATGACACCCTCCATTCCCCAGGTCATCGGCCGGTTTTATCATTATAGAACTGGCCTGTGTTGAGTTCTGGCCTGGCTCCCCTGGGCCAGCTGCCTCCTTTCCCCAGGCAAGGTGAGGGCAAACTAGCAGGGAGCTGGTTTCATGAAATTTGGTTTTCATTGTATGGGAGTTCTTTTGGCAATTTTGAAGCTTCAGTTTCATTTTAACCATGCAGTGTTGACATGTAATCGACTTAAGAATGGTCTAGGATGGACCGAAACGGCGTCATTTCTTCACTTTCTAATGTGTGGTTTGGTCAACATATTTCAGCCACGTTATTGTGACTCCTCGTCTGCATAACCATGCAGTAATCTGTTTTGAGTCATCTATCTTTCTGGATGCCTTCCCTTGGTTGGTGGCAAAGATGATAAACTTTAAATGTAAAGTGTTCATAGGCCATTGCTCCCTGCTCCTCTCTGAGGGGGCCCAAGTTCTGGCTCATGGTCTCAGTAGGCCAATAGAACTCTACAACTGATGACACCTAGTAATATGGCACTTAATCAGTGTGATAGCTACAGAGAGCCTCTGGGGCTCACCCAGAAAATGGCATTGCATTACATTCAATGCCTGGTTTTTGAGCTTTCATAATTTCAATTGTACTATATATCATTTAGAGAACTAAATATTGCCTCAAAATTCTAGTAAATTATTCCATTCTATAACTTTTGTCATTCTTTTTGCAGGTACAATACAACGCCCAGCATGTCAGCAAGTGTATAATCTCTTTCATCCAACTGATCCTCTAGCAGTTCGTGTTGAACCTTTACTGTCTGCACGGTTTTCACTCCTCACACCAGTCACAATCCCACGCTACACCAAATATCCTCTGGGAGATGGCATTCCAACTCATTTGTGTAAGTCTTCAGTCACCTTTTGGGTTTCATTATATTGAGTAAATTGTGCAAACTATACTGATATCTTCATATATGTATAGCATGTTTATCTCTTTTTTTTTTTTCATGTTTACTATGACATTTTCATTATATTACATAAGATGATCCTAGTATTTTATTAGATTGCAATTAAAATATATAGAAAATATGCAGGAAGAAACAAAGGGTTATCTTGAGGTCATCTTGAGATGATTTCGGGGCTTAGCTTCCCCACGGCCCGGTCCTCGACCAGGCCTCCTTTTTGTTACACACCCCTCGGGAAGCACCATGTAGCAGCTGTCTAACTCCCAGGTACCTATTTACTGATAGGTAATAGGGGCATAAGGGTGAAAGAAACATTTTGCCCATTTGTCTCCACCTCCACCGGGGATTGAAGCCGGAACCTCAGGACTACGAATCTGAAGCGCTGGCCACCCAGCTGTCAGGCACCCAACTGTCAGGTGCCACCCAGCTGTCAGTCACCCAGCTGTCAGGTGCCACCCAGCTGTCAGTCACCCAACTGTCAGGTGCCACCCAGCTGTCAGTCACCCAGCTGTCCGGTGCTACCCAGCTGTCAGTCACCCAGCTGTCAGGTGCCACCCAGCTGTCGGTAAAGATTAAAGTTTACTAAAGAGTTGAACTCAAAATCATATTTACAAATAAAGACTTAAGTAACGTTTCCAAGAAGTGGACCATCAATATCGTGTTCTTCCATTGGCATGTGAGACATACTGGTACCTGAAGGTGGACGTCTTTGTGTCAGCGTGGAATCAGTGCCTTCCTATGTACTCAACTCCGTTCACCGATTGCCAGGCTCTTGCAGTGGATGCCTTTGGGCTGTACTGGTAGAGGTAGGGGTTCCTGTACCCCTTTCTCCTGGTTCAGCTGTTGCTCTGGGTCCTGGACAGATGGGAGTTCTACCAGGGAAGAGTATGGTCCTTCTGGCTCCTTAGTGGTTGGTTCAAGCCTTGGCTTCAGGTGCTACTTGCTAAATTTTCGAACCTGGGTGTTTTTTTTATGGCTTTGTCTATCATAAGATTGGCCTTATGAAGGTCACCGGTTCGACCTTCTCGGTTCTTTCCATCTAGTCTTTCTGGCACATCTTTATCACTATCTTCATGGCAAGAAGGTGGCTTATTTGTTGATGTTATGAGGATGGGGATGAAATGGAAGTTTATTATTCAGATAATAAAAATCAACAGAGCCTCCTCAACCAACTCAGAACTCTACTGAATTGACTGGAATGTTCTGGAGGCCCGAACACCATTTTCCACAGGCCAGAGTGTAGCCTGGCCAATCATAAAATTCCTGGTTGTGAACCAGTTCAGGCCTCCAGAACTTCCCAGTGAACTAATTTAACACTTTGGCATGCTCAACAGGGAACCCACATCGCAAAGGAGAGTAGGCCAAGAATTCCCGTTGAGCGCACAACCCAGTGTTAAACTGTCACTCACAATGTTTATACTTAATAATAATACTAAGACAAAATTAATGTGTGGTGCCCAGAGCGTCATCCCTCACTCTGTGTGAATTGGTTTTATGAAGGCGAGAGCATCATTAGGAGGCCAAAGTGCTAAGTAAAGTCCTGGGTTATTTGGCTTTTGTCCTGTCAGGGCTGAGTACTCGCCTATTTGTGCTTGCAGGAGTTGAGCTTTGGCTCTTTGGTCCCGCCTCTCAACCGTCAATCAACTGGTAATTACCTAAGTGTAGTTACAGGATGAGAGCTACACTCATGGTGTCCCGTCTTCCCAGCACTCTTTGTCATATAATGCTTTGAAACTACTGACGGTCTTTGCCTCCACCACCTTCTCACCTAACGTGTTCCAACTGTCTACCACTCTGTTTGCCAAAGTGAATTTTCTTATATTTCTTCAGCATCTGTGTTTAGCTAGTTTAAATCTATGACCTCTTGTTCTCAAAGTTCCAGGTCTCAGGAAATCTTCCCTATCGATTTTATCAATTCCTGTTACTATTTTGTATGTAGTGATCATATCACCTCTTTTTCTTCTGTCTTCTAGTTTTGGCATATTTAATGCCTCTAACCTCTCCTTGTAGCTCTTGCCCTTCAGTTCTGGGAGCCACTTAGTAGCATGTCTTTGCACCTTTTCCAGTTTCTTGATACGCTTCTTAAGATATGGGCACCACACAACCACTGCATATTCTAGCTTTGGCCTAACAAAAGTCATTAACAATTTCTTTAGTATATCGCCATCCATGTATTTAAAAGCAATTCTGAAGTTAGAAAGCGTGGCATAGGCTCCTCGCACAACGTCCTTTATGTGGTCCTCAGGTGTTAGTTTTCTATCTAGAACCACCCCTAGATCTCTTTCTTTATCAAAATTCTTTAAAGATTTCTCACATAATGGTGTACAGATTTCTGATCCTACTGGGCTCTATCATATCTGCATTTAAAACTGTGTATGGAGTCAGCCTTCACCACATCACTGCCCAATGCATTCCACCTGTTAACTACTCTAACACTGAAAAAGTCCTTTCTAACGTCCCTGTGTCTCATTTGGGTACTCAGTTTCCACCAGTGTTGAATAGTTTATCCTTGTCTACCCTGTCAATTCCCCTGAGGATTTTGTAGGTAGTGATCATGTCTCCCCTTACTCTTCTGTCTCCAGTGTCATAAGGTGCATTTCCCGCAGCCTTTCCTCGTAACTCATGCCTTTTAGTTCTGGGACTAGTCTAGAGTCATACCTCTGAACTTTTTCCAGCTTCGTCTTGCGCTTGACAAGGTACGGGCTCCATGCTGGGGCCGCATACTCCAGGATTGGTCTTACATATGTGGTGTACAAGATTCTGACTGATTCCTTGCACAAGTTCCTGAAGGCTGTTCTGATGTTAGCCAGCCTCGCATATGCCGCAGACGTTATTCTCTTTATGTGGGCTTCAGGAGACAGGTTTGGTGTGATATCAACTCCTAGATCTTTCTCTCTGTCCGTTTCATGAAGTACTTCATCTCCTGTTCTGTATCCTGTGTCTGGCCTCCTGTTTCTACTGCCTAGTTTCATTACTTTGCATTTACTAGGGTTGAACTTCAACAGCCATTTGTTGAACCATTCATTCAGTCTGTCTAGGTCATCTTGTAGCCTCCTACTATCATCCTCTGTTTCAATCCTCCTCATAATTTTAGTATCATCAGCAAACATTGAGAGGAACGAGTCTATACCCTCTGAGAGATCATTTACATATATCAGAAACAGCATAGGTCCAAGGACTGACCCCTATGGGACTCCACTTGTGACGTCTCGCCAATCTGAGACCTCACCTCTCACAGTGACTCGTTGTCTTCTGTTGCTTAGGTACTCCCTTATCCAATGGAGTACCTTCCCTTTCACTCCAGCCTGCATCTCCAGCTTTTTCAATAGCCTCTTGTGTGGTATTATATCAAAGGCTTTCTGGCAATCCAAAAATATGCAGTCTGCCCACTCTCTTTCTTGCCTGATTTTTGTTGCCTGGTCGTAGAATTCAATTAACCCTGTGAGGCTAGACTTGCCATCCCTGAACCCTGAGTGGGTTAGGTCAGGTGTCTGGGAACCACTGGAACACTGGTTCAAGTCACCACATTGCTCCAAAATGATGTCCTCGTTGATATGTCATGCTGTTGTGATATCTTTGTGATCTGAAGGTGGAGCGTAAAGATATGAACACGATTACCCAAGGGCCAGAGTGTAAGCGGGCCAACTGTAAAAATCTTGGTTGGGCATCAATTCGGGCCTCCAGAACTTCCCAGTAAATTTGAAAGAATTCTTGGTTGTCTTTTGTCCTATCGTGACTGCGTGGATTACCCCTTGAACTGTGCATGGCAACCAGAGTTGTTTCATTGATGGTGCACACTGCAACCAGTGCACGGGGCTCACAATCTGTTCTTCAGGGCTCCAGTAAACAGATACCATCTTAAAAAAAAAAATAATCTGCATCTCTCCTGGCTGTGAGAGCCTCAGTGCTAGGAGAATGACCAAGGCTGGTGCATGCAGCAGGAGTTCACAGCACCACTGTATAGCTAGGAGCCACAGCACTACAATGATAATAATGGCGCCCTGTCGGCTCCATGAAGCTATCCATTGAACTAATGCTATATTAGTTTGGGGTCATCGGTCACAGGAGTCCTTATGGCTACATGGAACCACGAGCCAGAACCTGGCCCCCTCAGGGAGCAATGGCCTATGAGCACTTTACATTTAAAGTACATCATAATTCAACCCTTCCTCCGAGTAGACAGTACATTTTAATACTAAATGTAATAAGTACATTCCTGACTGCATAGTACATAAATACACTTAATTGTGCTGTTAAATTTACCTCCCCATAAATTTTCTCCTAATTTTATGTTAATACACTCAAAATTTTTAGCTAGAGGTTTTAGTGTTCAATTCTATATAAACAAATTTTAAATATAAAGAATTTCTTTTTTTAGTTTTATTAAACAATAGAGATTTTATACAAAATTTGAAAATATCCTGAGTTACTTTATAATTTATTGAGACTTTAGTTTTGTTTTATTAGTTTTATAAAATTGTAATATCGATATAACTATAGGTTAAGTACTCATTGTAATTAAGAAGCAATAAATGCTATTTACATGCTTGTCCTGCTACACTCCCAAGCTTAGGTTAGGTCGTGGGTTTCTATATAGCTTTTCGGATAAACTCTAATATTCACAATATTTTGGTGCGATGCTGGCAATTAAGTGTATTTATGTACTGTGCTGATAGTCAAGATTGTACTTATTACATTTAGTATTAAAATATACTGTCTATTCAGAGAATGGGCTGCATAATTGTCATCGACCGGGGAAGGACCCAGAAAGGTTAACGACTGGTTAACCTGTGCAGTCTACATCCTTAAAGAGCAAAATAACTCCCCTAGAAAGAAATCAAACAAGCAACCCTTCTTGCAACTAGCACTCCCACTCTTTAGCACTACCCCCATCCTCTCCCAAAGGGGAAGGGAAGGTGGAGCTGGCTCCACCACCCCAGTTCTTGAACTGATGTGCTAGTGGTCAGATCAGTCACCTCTGGCCTAAAGTTCCTGTTCTGGATTCTTCGCCCTGTGTGGCTGTTCCTGCTGTGTGTGTGTGGGGTGTGGTGACCAGGTGTCTTGTATATATTATGTTGCAACCCGTTCTCGCAAATTTAATAAGTCAATATTGACTTATTAAATATGTGCATAGGTGACATACTTAACATAATAGTTTCCCTTGAAAAGCTTCATAGAAAACACCGACCTTACCTAACCTACTTAGTATGTTAAGATAAGCATCTTATTGCTTCGTAATTACAATTATTACCTAACCTATACCTATAATAGGTTAAGTAACAATTGTAATTACGAAGGTATAAGATGCTTATTTTAACATACTAAGTAGGTTAGGTAAGGTCGGTGTTTTCTATGAAGATTTTCATGGGAAACTATTATGTTTAGTATGTCACCTATGCACGCAACTAATAAGTCAATATTGACATTAAGTTTGCGAGAACGGGTTGTATATAAAGCCAGGTGTCCTATATAATATTGTATTTCATAAAATCTTTCTTTGTTTGCAGTGGAATGTATTCAGTCTAATGGAGGTGTGTTCATGGATATTGGTGGGACTACAGGATCTCCGTCATTGGCAGGACATACTCGTCGTATGTCGGATGCTTCTATTCTCTCCACTGTTTCAGGGATGGGAGATACGGTCCCAATTGCCACAATAAATGCCTGTAAGTTTTAATTATTTAATATTATATCATTAGGTTTGAAAAGTAAGAGTTGAGATTTACTGAAACCTGTTAGTATTTATTACTCATTATGAACCCTTTTACTGTACAGTTTGATTTTAAAAGTTTGAGAAGTATTGTGAACATTGGAAACAGGTGAGACTCTTTTGAGAAATGCTCAAATGTTACCAGTTATGAGTCATGTGTAAAGTACATATTATTCATCAAAAGGTGAATGACCGCTGCATGATATATTGTTTTGGGATTTTTGATTTGTAGATGGGATGGTAACATTATCTTTCCCTAACCACTGTTAACTAGCAACTAATTTATTAAGACACACAATACAGAGCACCACTTGGTTTCCGAACCCCTTGGGGACGAGACCCGTCGGTTAACATGTAAGTTTGTATACGAGAAATAGAGGGGAAAAAATAAACTAGAAATGGAAAAATAAATTTTTCCGAAAAATTTACGAAAAAACTCTAGGGGAAAAATCGACAGGTTCATAGCGTAAATGCGACCGTGTTTTGTTTGTACTCACCAATAAGTGAAGTCCTGATCCGCTTTATAAAAGTCCTTAATTGTTCCTAACTGATTATTAAGACGTCTGGCAAACATCCTCTGGATGTTTCCTGCCAGCCTGCAGGAACATCCTGCCAGCCTGCAGGAACATCCTGCCAGCCTGCAGGCACATCCTGCCAGCCTGCAGGCACATCCTGCCAGCCTGCAGGCACATCCTGCCAGCCTGCAGGCACATCCTGCCAGCCTGCAGGCACATCCTGCCAGCCTGCAGGCACATCCTGCCAGCCTGCAGGCACATCCTGCCAGCCTGCAGGCACATCCTGCCAGCCTGTGGAGTGTGGTTAGGCTTACGGAGTCAGCCGGTCCCTCCCCCACCACCGACACACCTCCCCCTCTCCCCCCACCCCAAACCCATACACACACACACACACTCTCTCAAAGGTCACGTGGTTCATGGTTCACATCAACACCCATATTTTTTTTTTTTGAGATATATATAAGAGTTGTTACATTCTTGTACAGCCACTAGTACACGTAGCGTTTCGGGCAAGTCCTTAATCCTATGGTCCCTGGAATACGATCCCCTGCCGCGAAGAATCGTTTTTTCATCCAAGTACACATTTTACTGTTGCGTTAAACAGAGGCTACAGTTAAGGAATTGCGCCCAGTAAATCCTCCCCGGCCAGGATACGAACCCATGACAAAGCGCTCGCGGAACGCCAGGCGAGTGTCTTACCACTACACCACGGAGACTGCTTAAAATATATCGCTTCCTGCCTGCCTGCCTCCTCCCCCAGCCTGCAAGCCTGCCTGCCTCCTCCCCAGCCTGCAAGCCTGCCTGCCTCCTTCCCAGCCTGCAAGCCTGCCTGCCTCCTTCCCAGCCTGCAAGCCTGCCTGCCTCCTTCCCAGCCTGCAAGCCTGCCTGCCTCCTTCCCAGCCTGCAAGCCTGCCTGCCTCCTTCCCAGCCTGCAAGTCTGCCTGCCTCCTTCCCAGCCTGCAAGCCTGCCTGCCTCCTTCCCAGCCTGCAAGCCTGCCTGCCTCCTTTCCAGCCTGCAAGCCTGCCTGCCTCCTTCCCAGCCTGCAAGCCTGCCTGCCTCCTTCCCAGCCTGCAAGCCTGCAAGTCTGCCTGCCTCCTTCCCAGCCTGCAAGCCTGCCTGCCTCCTTCCCAGCCTGCAAGCCTGCAAGTCTGCCTGCCTCCTTCCCAGCCTGCAAGCCTGCCTGCCTCCTTCCCAGCCTGCAAGCCTGCCTGCCTCCTTCCCAGCCTGCAAGCCTGCCTGCCTCCGTCCCAGCCTGCACGCCTGCCTGCCTCCTTCCCAGCCTGCAAGCCTGCCTGCCTCCTTCCCAGCCTGCAAGCCTGCCTGCCTCCTTCCCAGCCTGCAAGCCTGCCTGCCTCCTTCCCAGCCTGCAAGCCTGCCTGCCTCCTTCCCAGCCTGCAAGCCTGCCTGCCTCCTTCCCAGCCTGCAAGCCTGCCTGCCTCCTTCCCAGCCTGCAAGCCTGCCTGCCTGCCATCATGCTAACGGGTAGTGTGTGTTAGGCTTATCTTCGGGAATGAGCTGGTCTCGCCCCCACCACCCCCCCCTACATCCCATACTCTCTTTTAAAGGTCGCGCGGTTCAACCGCGTGACTACCACTCACTCCCTGTCTGCCAGCCTGCCTGCAAGCTAGCCTGCCTGCCTGCCTGCCTGCCTGCCTGCCTGCCTGCCTGCCTGCCTGCCTGCCTGTCTGCCTGTGCCTGCCTGCCTGTGCCTGCCTGCCTGCCTTTCCCTCCCTAATTCTCACTACTTCCGTCCCTTCCTGCCTACCTCCTAGCATCTCTCCCTACCTCCCCCTTCCTCTTAGCATCTCTCCCTCCCTCCCCCTCCTTCCTAGCATCTCTCTCCCCCCCTCTCTCACTGATTCTCCCCCCCCCCTCATTCATACTGCCTCCCACCTAAGTTCCATCGTCCATCCACCCACCAGTCAGCCATCACTGACGCAATGGGTGCATTTGGAGCCGACATGGTGCACAGATGTTTCTTGATTGTGCAGATATGTAAAACAAAAGCACAGAATGAACATTCCAGCCTTATGGCAATTCAAAATAATAGGAATAATAGGCCGTGAATCTGTGAAGTCACAGTGGGCAAACTGGACCATCGCCCACCCACCACCACAAGCCGGCGTGACGCTTGGCGGACCCCTTCCTACCCGAACTTTGTTCGGGTAGCATGACTCCCCAACCCCAATCGGGAAACTGGAAGTTTCGGATAACTAAAGTTCGGAAACCAAGTGGTGCTCTGTATCATTTTAACTTTATAAAGTGCCACAGTCTTTGGCTATTTATGCTCTCAGCTCAGGACTCTTGTTGAAACCCTTCTAAAGCATGACTCATTTCTTTAGTATACTAAACACTAAATACTCACTGTATCAGAATAGTAAATACTCACTGTATCAGAATAGTAAATACTCACTGTATCAGAATAGTAAATACTCACTGTATCAGAATAGTAAATACTGTATCAGAACAGTAAATACTCACCGTATCAAAATAGTAAATACTCATTGAATCAGAATAGTAAATACTCACTACGTATATCAGAACAGTACGTACTCAATATATCAGAACAGTAAATACTCATTGTATCAGAATAGTAAATACTCACTATATCAGACAAGTAAATACTCACTGTATCAGAACAGTATATACTTACTGTATGAGAATAGTAAATACTGTATCAGAACAGTAAATAGTCACTATATCAAAACAGTCAGTACTCACCATATCAAAACAGTAAATACTCTATCAGAACAGATACTCTACCCATTACTGTATATCAGAACAGTAAATTCTCACTATATCAGCACAGTAATACCCATTATATCAGAACAGTAACTACTCACTATATCAGAACAGTAAATATTTAATAAACCAAAACAGTAAATAAGTTGTTATAAATTTTGTCAATATATAGTAATTGATTTTCACAACACAAAGTTTAATATGTTGTACATGAACATAAATTACAACATTGGATTTGATTTTTCATTAACATTTCTGAGCAATTTTGTTTTACAAAAGACCATGATCAGTTAATACTGTGTGCCACTTATGTTATGGGTAACTCACTAATGAGATATTAATGTTATAGAGTTAATTCCCCTAATTTCTTCCTTTTCCACAGTGAGTCAGCGGTGGTGGGGAAGTAAACGGTTAGATTATGCATTAGCTAATTCCCCTAATTTCTTCCTTTTCCACAGTGAGTCAGCGGTGGTGGGGAAGTAAACGGTTAGATTATGCATTAGCTAATTCCCCTAATTTCTTTTTTTTCCACAGTGAGTCAGCGGTGGTGGGGAAGTAAACGGTTAGATTATGCATTAGCTAATTCCCCTAATTTCTTCCTTTTCCACAGTGAGTCAGCGGTGGTGGGGAAGTAAACGGTTAGATTATGCATTAGCTAATTCCCCTAATTTCTTCCTTTTCCACAGTGAGTCAGCGGTGGTGGGGAAGTAAACGGTTAGATTATGCATTAGCTAATTCCCCTAATTTCTTCTTTTTCCACAGTGAGTCAGCGGTGGTGGGGAAGTAAACGGTTAGATTATGCATTATACTGCCCGGAAGGACTAGCAAATTTCCCAACAAACTCTCTGCCACATCTGTTCCATGCTTCTTATTGGGAGTCATCAGATGTAATAGCTTTTATATTAAGACAGGTAAGGTAAATATAAGAGCAAAATATTGCCCTTGTTATAGCTGAATTTTGTTGTACAGTGACAGTATCATAACTTATTTATGGTATGATTTTATTATTTAGCTCTGAACATTTTCCATAGCATTTAAAGTAGGTGCCTGGCTGCTTCTGTGCTGCGTACTAGGGTGTATCTGTGCTGTGTGTCTGGCTGCTTCTGTGCTGCGTAGCAGGCTGTATCTGTGCTGCGTGTCTGGCTGCTTCTGTGCTGCGTACTAGGGTGTATCTGTGCTGTGTGTCTGGCTGCTTCTGTGCTGCGTAGCAGGCTGTATCTGTGCTGCGTGTCTGGATGCTTCTGTGCTGCGTAGCAGGCTGTATCTGTGCTGCGTGTCTGGCTGCTTCTGTGCTGCGTACTAGGGTGTATCTGTGCTGTGTGTCTGGCTGCTTCTGTGCTGCGTACTAGGGTGTATCTGTGCTGCGTGTCTGGATGCTTCTGTGCTGCGTAGCAGGCTGTATCTGTGCTGCGTGTCTGGATGCTTCTGTGCTGCGTAGCAGGCTGTATCTGTGCTGCGTGTCTGGCTGCTTCTGTGCTGCGTACTAGGGTGTATCTGTGCTGTGTGTCTGGCTGCTTCTGTGCTGCGTAGCAGGCTGTATCTGTGCTGCGTGTCTGGATGCTTCTGTGCTGCGTAGCAGGCTGTATCTGTGCTGCGTGTCTGGCTGCTTCTGTGCTGCGTAGCAGGCTGTATCTGTGCTGCGTGTCTGGCTGCTTCTGTGCTGCGTACTAGGGTGTATCTGTGCTGTGTGTCTGGCTGCTTCTGTGCTGCGTAGCAGGCTGTATCTGTGCTGCGTGTCTGGCTGCTTCTGTGCTGCGTAGCAGGCTGTATCTGTGCTGCGTGTCTGGCTGCTTCTGTGCTGCGTACTAGGGTGTATCTGTGCTGCGTGTCTGGCTGCTTCTGTGCTGCGTACTAGGGTGTATCTGTGCTGCGTGTCTGGCTGCTTCTGTGCTGCGTACTAGGGTGTATCTGTGCTGCGTGTCTGGCTGCTTCTGTGCTGCGTACTAGGGTGTATCTGTGCTGCATGTCTGGCTGCTTCTGTGCTGCGTACTAGGGTGTATCTGTGCTGCGTGTCTGGCTGCTTCTGTGCTGCGTAGCAGGCTGTATCTGTGCTGCGTGTCTGGCTGCTTCTGTGCTGCGTACTAGGGTGTATCTGTGCTGTGTGTCTGGCTGCTTCCGAGCTGTGTACAGGTTGTATGCTCAGGTGTTTCTGGACTGTGTACCTGGCTGTTTCTGTGCTGCGTGTCTGGCTGCTTCCAAGCTGTGTACAGGTTGTATGCTCAGGTGTTTCTGGACTGTGTACCTGGCTGTTTCTGTGCTGCATGTCTGGCTGCTTCCAAGCTGTGTACAGGTTGTATGCTCAGGTGTTTCTGGACTGTGTACCTGGCTGTTTCTGTGCTGCGTGTCTGGCTGCTTCCGAGCTGTGTACAAGTTGTATGTTCAGGTGTTTCTGGGCTGTGTACCTGGCTGTATCGGTGCTGTGCGTGTCTGGCTGTTTCTAAGCTGTGTACAGGTTGTATGCTCAGGTGTTTCTGGACTGTGTACCTGGCTGTTTCTGTGCTGCGTGTCTGGCTGCTTCCAAGCTGTGTACAGGTTGTATGCTCAGGTGTTTCTGGACTGTGTACCTGGCTGTTTCTGTGCTGCGTGTCTGGCTGCTTCCGAGCTGTGTACAGGTTGTATGTTCAGGTGTTTCTGGGCTGTGTACCTGGCTGTTTCTGTGCTGCGTGTCTGGCTGCTTCCGAGCAGTGTACAGGTTGTATGCTCAGGTGTTTCTGGGCTGTGTACCTGGCTGTATCTGTGCTGTGCGTGTCTGGCTGTTTCTAAGCTGTGTACAGGTTGTATGCTCAGGTGTTTCTCGGCTGTGTATCTGGCTGTGTTCACACTGGATGCCCAAATGTTGATGAATTGTGTGCCTGGCTGTTATGGGCCCTATGAATATTTCAAATATTTAGAAATGTATGAATTAATTTTTTACAAGCAATTTACTTCTCTTTCACAGCTTGTGAGAACCGATCAAGCAGCTCTTGCAGCAGATGATAAGGACCTTCCTGTATTCTCTCCAATGCAACCAAGAGAAAAATGGATTAAAAAAAGAACTTCTGTTAAAATTAAGGCAAGTTGAGTTTGAGTCCATCATAAGTGCCAGATGTTGTCAAAAGTTGTGCTTGTTTTCTTTGTTTGGATATTCACAATAGCATAACTCCCTGGAAACACAAACCAAAACTGTTTCTATTTTCCGCTTGTTACAACTTGTAATAAAGTTGTTACATCTTGGCTTAACGTGTTTTTGACGTATTAGAACGTTGTTACAACTTGCTATATTGGTTGTTATAACTGGTTAGGAGGTGTTAAAACTTGTTCGAACGTTGTACCAACGTCGTAGTTTCGGTGTGTGTTTGGCGGGCTTGAGCTTCAGGGAGATGTAAAACTATGAATGATTAAGTTTCAACATCTGACAAAACCAGTATAACCTGAAATATAGCCCAATTAGCAATCCAAATAGACAGAATAGTGTTCTAATTTTGCATATGCAGAATGCTATCTTGTTGTATGTAATACATCCATCTAGGAAAAACAAATGAACAAGGCATTAAATTTTAAATCCTGACTGGAAAAATAGCATTGTACAATGCCAAGTTAAATGATTTCCTCTCTGGAATTTAGATTTTTCTGTGAGGAGCCCTTTAGGAGCCGGTCGGCCGAGCGGACAGCACGCGGGACTTGTGATCCTGTGGTCCTGGGTTCGATCCCAGGCGCCGGCGAGAAACATTGGGCGGAGTTTCTTTCACCCTATGCCCCTGTTACCTAGCAGTAAATAGGTACCTGGGTGTTAGTCGGCTGTCACGGGCTGCTTCCTGGGGGTGGAGGCCTGGTCGAAGACCGGGCCGCGGGGACACTAAAGCCCCGAAATCATCTCAAGATAATCTCAAGATAATCAAGATAGACTCCCAGGAGCTATCGGGCTAATATACGATACATTAAACCAGGGCTTTAGTCAACAGAGTTCTGCCTACTGGGGACCACAAGCCAGAACATGGCCCCCTTCCCCCTCAGAGAGGTGCAGGGAGCAATGGCCCTGGAAACCCGCCACCCCTGTGGTTGGGGGTTTACCTTATCTTCCATCGAATGGAGTTAGGCACCCAGAATGGTAGGCATAACAAAACAGACCCCACAAGGTAAGAAAATTGCAAACAAAACAAAACAGAGGTAGAACTCCCTCAATTCCCAAAGAAACAAAGAAACGAGCAAACATCACATCACACAGTCGTGTCACTCACCCGCACAGCCCCCCACCCCCCCATGCTGGCTACCCGGCAACTTCAGTTTGTTGGCTAAAGTGATCCAGGGTGGATGTCATTTCTGGCCTAGGTTTCCAAGCTGAGTTTACCTTCGTGGTGGCCTCTGCAGTATCGTTGTGTGTCAGATGTCAGAGACCAGATGTCCTCAAGAGTACAGTGGCTGCATGTGCTTAGGGGCATTCTTTCCTGAGTGCCCTGTGAGTACTACCCTTGCATGTTAGGGTTCTCTTCTCTGGTGCATTCGGGAACCAATTTCCATAAGGGGTTTCCTGGGGGGGGGGGGGGAATTCTTTTGACTCCCTGGAGCTATCCAGGCTGATATGAATGTATTAGACCCTAGCATCTGTTAAGCAAATGGAGTTCTGGCCTACCTCGATGACTGGCTGGTGTGGGCTCCCAGCAAGACAGAATGTCTGCTCACAACGAATTTGGTTCTTTCACAGCTTGCTGAATTTGGTTTCCTTGTGAATTGGACGAAGTCCCATCTGGGTCCCTCTCAGGTTCGGTCTTGGCTGGGTCTTTTTTGGGACTCTTGGACCATTTCCTTGTCTCTCCCTCCAGAGGCTCTGCTGCAGCTGCGGTCCCACCTTCACCTGTTTCTGGGGGCTCCCGGCTTAAGGATTTGTGCAGGAGTCTGAACTTTGCCATGATGGTCAACCTGCCGGGTCGGGTTTGGCTTCGTCGGCTCTTCTGGTTCCTTCGGGGATGTTCCTTCTGCCTCTCTCATGATTACTGGGATTGGCCTCTGGGTGCCTTATGTCAACTGCTGGTTCAGTGCCTCGGTGCCTACCTGAGCCCTTGCGCGATGTGTTCACGGATGCGTTGTCTCTTGGCTAAGGCTTCATGACTAGTGCCCACCAGGCCGGCCAGGGACGATGGGGTCCATCTTTCCATTGGGCTCACAGCACGGTGTGGGAGTTTGGGGCGATGTGGATGTCGCTTCAGAGGGTTCGGGTCGCTCACTGATCGATGATTCAGCTCCATTCGAACTGCTTCCCAGTGGTTCATTGCCTGAACCGTGGGGGGTCGATGTGGTCCTTGGCTCTTTGGGGCTGGTTGCTTCAGGTGACTCTTTTGCTGAGTTCTCGGGGTTTGGCTCTCCTGGTCGTTCACGTTCAAGGGGTGTCCAACGTCCTGGCGAACAGCCTGTCTCGGTTCATTCCCCTGTCCACGGAATGGATGGTCAAAGCAACTCGTTCAGTTAGTGTTGCTGAACATACAGGCTCCGGAGGTGGATCTTTTCGCGTCGGTGTTGTTGCGGCGTCTCACGATATATGTGATGCCCTTCCCTGACTGTGAGGCCATTGGGGTCAATGCCTTCAGGCAGGACTGGTCGAGGTGGGGTTACCTGTACCTCTTTTACCCGGTTCTGCTGTTACTTCAGGTCCTAGTTTGCTTGGAGACTTACCAGGGGAGAGTTGTCCTTCTGGCTCCTTGGTGGCTGGCCCAACCTTGGTTTCAGGCGCTGGTTACTTGGTGTCCGAACCCGGGGGTCTTCCCATGGCTCTGCCTCTTTCAGCAGATCAGGCGAGTCCGCTACATATGTGGTTAAATCTTCTCCTCAAGTCTTCACGTCTGGTCTTTCTGATGTGGGTCTATCACCACTTGTATGGTGAGCAAGTGGCTTCGTTGATGGTGTCCCACCTGTGCATTTCGTCTCGGCAGCAGTATGAAGTTTCCTGGCAGTCCTTCCATTATTTTTTTGCCCCTCTGTAGGTTCTCTTCTATTTCGGATCAGGTTATTTTGTCCTTCCTTTCCTGGTTGTTTCGGGGTGGATGTTACATCTGTTCTGTTCCGTAAGCTGTCTCGTGCATTGTTTCACCTCCGGCTTGCTCAGGCGCTGCCTGAGCTGTCCTGGTCGTTCGACTGGGTGCTCTTTTTTTTTCTCTTCTTCTCGGTTTGTTTTGACCCCTTCAGTTAAAGATTGATTTGCAAAGGCTCTTTCTGTGGGGAGCCCCTACGGCTCCCTGGAGCTTATCGGGCTAATGTATGTTATGTTAGACTGGGACATTAGCTAAGGAGTTCAGACCTACCAGGGACCAGCGCCAGAACCTGGCCCCTTCAGAGAGGTTTCAAGGAGCAATGGCCCTGGAAAACCCAATATGGTTGGGGGTTTTCCTTATCTGCCATCGACCGGGGTTAGGCACCCAGAAAGGTAGGCGTAACAAAACAAAAACCCCACATGGTAAGAAACTACAACAAAAACCGAACAGAGAGGTAGAAAACTCCCTACAATCCCAAGGAAACAAGCAAACAAGCAAACATCACACTTTACTGCCACGCCGATCGTCCGCGCAGCCCTCCCCACCCCGGGAGGGAGAGGGGGGAGCCCCGGACCTACCGCGCCGGCTGCCAAGCTCCAGTTCGTTCACTAATGTCAACCGGGATTGACGCTTCTCTGGCCTCAGTTTCCTAGGCGGTGTTTGCCTACCCCTCCCAGAGAGGGGAAGGGGAGGGCTGCGTGGATGAGATGCACGGCAGTAAAATGTGATAATTGCTCGTTTCCTTCCTTGGGATTGTAGGGAGTTTCTACCTCTGTTCGTTTTTTGGTTTTAGTTTCTTACCATGTGGGGTTTGTTTCGTTATGCCTACCATTCTGGGTGCCTAACCCCGGTCGATGGCAGATAAGGAAAACCCCAACCACGTGGGGGGGAAGGGGTTCCAGGGCAGTTGCTCCCTGAAACCTCTCTGAAGGGGCCAGGTTCTGGCGCTGGTCCCTGGTCGGTCTGAACTCCTTAGCTAATGTCCCGGTCTAACATAACATACATTAGCCCGATAAGCTCCAGGGAGCCTCCGGGGCTCACCCAGAAAATGGCGTTTCATTACATTTCCTGGTCGGTCTGAACTCCTTAGCTAATGTCCCGGTCTAACATAACATACATTAGCCCGATAAGCTCCAGGGAGCCTCCGGGGCTCACCCAGAAAATGGCGTTTCATTACATTTCCTGGTCGGTCTGAACTCCTTAGCTAATGTCCCGGTCTAACATAACATACATTAGCCCGATAAGCTCCAGGGAGCCGTAGGGGCTCACCCAGAAAATGGCGTTTCATTACATTCAACACTGTTTTTTTTCTGTCGGCATTGGCCTCTGGGGGTCAAGTTGGGAAGCTTCATGCTTTCATCCGGTGCAGAGGTTTCTGCTCTTTTGGTCCTGGTGGTAGGTTTGTTCGGTTGCATCCGTCTCCTTTTCTGGCGAAGAATAAGACAACTGCTTTCTGGAGGGATCCTTGGGGCTGTTGATGGTTGGTTGGTTCAGCCAGGGGTGCATCATGTGTTGTGTCCGGTTGTGGCTCTTCGCCATTACCTGTGCGCTACGGCCTCTGTGGCCGGATACATGCTTTGGGTTGACCCGGTTTACCCCGTCTTCCCTGTTGCAGGGTGCGGGTCTCCCAGGTAGTCCACAGGGTTATTCGGTTCAGCCAGCCTATGGTCTATCCTCATACCCATGACGTTCATAAGTTTGCTGCATTAGCTGCCATCTTTGTTAACATGTCTTGGGCTGACATTTGGGGCACGGGGTTTTTGGAGGTCGAATAGGGTCCTGGCCACTCGCTACCTGGTCAGTATTACTGGTATGTGTCACATTGGGTCGGCAGTTGCAGCCAGTTGTCTGAACTTCGAGTTGAGGAGTGAGTGACGACCGCCTCCTGGGTAAGTCCCTCTTGAATTATCTTTGGGTAAGCAGCTCCAGGGTGCCGAATGGGCTTTCCCCCCAGAAAGCCAGCAGTGTGAATGTAATGAAATGCCATTTTCTGGGTGAGATCCAGAGGCTCCCTGACAACTCTCCCTCCCCCTCCCTCCGGTTGGCGGTT